GTTTGTGACGCCTCGATGTTTGTACTAGGGAGTTGTAACACAGACTCCAGGTGAGTGGGTTTTTTATTTTCTATGTATACGTATATATGCTTTACGTTTTCCCATAAATTCTTTAAATGGATTTACGATTTTAGATGCCATGTCAATTACATTACATTTTAGAACATGCATTAGTATAGTTATGCATATTGTTGTTTGATGCTATGGACGCTCAGGTAAGCTCCAAGTGAGTATATATTGATGGTAGTGTGTGTATGGTTATGGTGAGATGCATTTAGAGCTCATTATCCTGCATCCTGGTGCTAGTGTTCCCGTCCGTGGTTAGGATACAGTCCTTCACGTGATGTTCATCTCCCGCACTGCACGCTTACCTTGGATCCAAGTTTGGTGCACAACCCTATCATATAAACCATAATAGGTGGTTTCAACTCGTAGGTGACCCACGATTATTCGCACAGCATTCACGTGATCGTAGCACTTGAGCGTACTTATTTGTACCCAACCCTGTCGTATAGACCACCTTAGGTGGTTCCGACTTGTGTGCAGGAGATGTCAAATATAATATGTCAAAATTTTATTTGATGGCTGATGTGGTAAATTGAATACAAGTGCTAAATTCTCTTCTTTTCCAATAGATGTGTCAAATATTTATTTTATTATTTTATTAGGCCTAGAGTTACATTAACTATTAAAAAATAATCAAAATTAATTGTAGTTTTTATTCTATTGGTTGTTAATGGGACCCATGTATAAAAAAATTTAATTAAATATATTTGACTCATTCTTTGTTTGCTGTCAAAAAAGGCAGCTAGAAAGTAAGGAGTCAAATGACTCACATGCCACATCATATATGACATATCCATTGGAGAACACCTAAATGTCCTTTAATTCTATTTGGCATATTTGACATCTACTTTGGAGATGGTCTTAGATGTTATAAAATCTAATGGATAAAAAGGAGTGTTAATCCAAAGAGATGAACAAGGAATGAAGGCTTATTTTAGAGTGATGAGAGCAAGTGAGAATGAGAGAATGTCCACACTGCAATTTCATTCATACAGAGGATGTAACTCCCATGGATTCAAACAAAAGTCATGATGAGCTTATGAGCTCAATACAGTCCAAAATGTGACCGTTAGAAGAGAGAGAGTAAGGAATACAAATGCCCTTCCATCTTATCTAGCCTATGAGCTAAATACATTTGTCCAATTCTAGCTTGTAAGCTAACACAAAGACATTGTTCAATAAGAAATTACACCTGTAAAAGTAAACAAGATTATAATCCAACACTCCCCTTTAAAGTGTCCACTGATTTTACTTAGAGCAAGTTTCTCAAATAGTTGAATCTTTCCTTTGCTAGAGCTTTAGTGGATATGTCTGAAACCTAGACAACAGAGTAGGTCAATGACTCCTTGTTGCAAAGCTTCCATGATGAAATGGTATTTCCTATTAATGTGCTTGGTCTCTTAATGGAAGGCTGGATTCTTGGTGATTGCAATGATTAAGGTGTTGTCACACTTAAGAGGAGTAACTTTTGTTTGCATTTCCCCAAAATCCTTTAACAAAAATTGAAGCCAAATTGCTTAAGTAGTTGCTTCAAATGCAATTATGTAGCCTCAGCTATGAACAAAGCAACACAGCTTTGTTTCACATATGTCCAAGAGAACATCTCATTGCCAAAGGTAAAGGCATATCCTAAAGTACTCTTCATATCATCATCTGAGTCACTAGTCACTCACAATATCCAAATAGGACATCTCCCTTCCCCTTTTCATACTCCAATCCATATTTCAAAGTTCCTTGCACAATTCTTAGCACTCTTTTTGTAATGCCCAAATGCTTGTTTGTAGGATAGTGCATGAACCTTGCAAGCAAACTTGCAGCATACCTCAAATCAGGGTGGATTTTTTCTCACCATCCTCAAGTAGTAATAATACTCACCACCCTAATTACTATCATTGAATGAGTTTAAATTTTCAGATTTGTGTCAAAAGTTTATTTATATACAATAATCAGATTATAGCAGGTATAGTTTAGTGGTAAAAGTGTGATTCAATCTATAATCCTTTATATAGTTTAAGGGGTCTTTTGGTTTGATTAATATTTCATTTCAACCAAAAAACTTTATTTCTTAAAAGAATTTAATCATTTACCTCTCAATGAAAAATTCGAGGAAGAATATACATTCTTGCAATACGCGAACGAAAGAAACAATGTCTTAGAGCATCTCCAGTGGAGTCCCTAAATGGAGTCCTTACCACCCTCAACCACTGTATGTCTCTAAATTTAGGCACTTTATGGCTTCCAATGGGATGAAGCTCCAACCCCAATAGTAGAGGGATTGGCCGGAGTTTGTATAAAAAACACTACATTTGAGGACTGGTTTTAGGGACTCAAAATGGAGTGAGGCCTATATGACTTATGAGTGAGATGCCACGTGCAATTCAAATGAAGTTGTTGTGTAGCTATGACAAATGTGCCAAACAAACGCAAATAAAGCTTACTCGCTTGACACAGCATCATGGTAGGTCCCACACTTATATTTTTTTTCTTTTCTTCTTCTTTTACCTTTGGGATCCAACGGTTCAACTTTCTTCTTGGGTTTTTTAATTTTGTAGTCCCTAAATTTAAGGATTATACTATTAGGATCATCCATTGGAGCTAAAATTCCTTTAGGGACTCAAAGATTCTTTGAAGTCCCTATATAAGTTCTCATATGTGGTGGTTGGAGTACTTAAATGGGGACTCCCATTAAAGATGCTCTTACGAAACACTTCTTTTATTTTGTCTCCCAAAGAGCAACTCTTCTCTCAAAATCTCAAAAGGAAAGGTTCTAAGTTGGAATATCATTCTAACTAAGGATTTTTGTGGTTCAAGAATTCTTGTTTAGGCGGTTCATACCATCCATACATAATATTTTGACATCACCACCATCACCTGAGGGTGTGTTGAACATACATAGTCTCGTACAAAATATCTTTGTATGAGAAAAAAGATATACTCATATTGGGTTTGTTATACATAGTAAAACAACATTAATGAAGTTGGATAGTTGATTTTTCATATTTATAAATTAATAATAAGTCAAATTGCTTTCAAGATGTTTTGTTGTACGTTAATTAGCATTTCACCGGGCTCCCTACCATATTTATCTTTGTCTAATGGTAATACGGGAGGATAATCGAAACCCTACCAAGGGTTTGAAGGCCTTTTATCTCCACAAGTAAATAAGGTTTGGAGATGGTTACAAATGGTAAGAGATCCCCTTCAGATCTCTCCCATCAAGTCCTAGGGATCCAGAGATCCGGACCCTGAAATTTGATATAACAGCTACAATTATTATAACTTTTAGAGGGGCTCCCTGTTTAGTAGCCGTTGCATCAAATTTCAAGAGCCCAAATCTCCGGATCCCTAGGATTTGGTAGGAGAGATCCGGAGATCTCTCCCCTTTACAAATAACTATCGTCTTGATGCTCATATAGTTTATAAATAGTGACACAATCATGACATGCATTTGCAACCGTATACAGAGGCGAATGCACACTAGAACTTAGGTGGTCTCAGGACCACTCGAAGTTCTTAAAATATACATGTGAAAGTCTTTCGAGGACTCTTCAAATATTTTATACTGGTCTCCTTGTACATATTAAGTATTTGATGTAATATCTGCTAGGCATATCTCGATAGGTTCCATGCACAACACTTAAATTCTCTTGATATCACTCATCAAGTGTTCGACAAAATGCCTTAGTGAATAAACTTTTTTTTTTCTTTTGCACGCTTCACGCTCTGTTTCTATCTAAAAATTTTGAACCTTTAAAACTACAACCACCCAAATTCGAATTCTGAACCCGTCACCGACCTTATATGTTCACAAAGCCAATCTTTTTTTTTTTTTTGAACAAGCGATATTATATATATTAAGGGGGTGGGGAACTGGCTAAGTCTCATAATGGGCTAGTAATAATGTAGTTCAAATTCGCCTTTGACGAAAATCGAATCTAAAATATCTTATTTATAAGTGAAAAGACCTAACAATTTTCCTTGTTTTTTTTATTGGAGAACGAATTATTGAAACGAAACGTCTAATGTTCAACCTTCGTTGACAATAATGTATCTGAGAGACTTGATCAAGATCATCAAATGACCTTCTAGTTCTATTTACTTGTCATGCTTTATATCATACATTGTCTCCCTTCATTAAATTCTATCAAAAAATAAAATATATAATATACGAGCGAAAGAAAGTAGGTGCCTGACAAGTGAGCACATCCATCCTATTTATTATTTTTAACTTTTTATAATCTTATGAAGCAACAACCATAACCCCCTAACAACATAAACAATTTTTTTTCACAAAAAAAGAAAAAAAAACTAAATTTCAGGCACATATAAAAGCAAAAATTGCATCCTATCATTCTAATTTACAAATCTCTACCATCCAAACGATGTTTGACGTTTCATGAAATTAACAAACTAACATTTAATTTTTTAAAAGTTAAAGTAATAGTAATGTGATAAAATAATATTGATTTTATTTTGATCAAGTGCAGGACGCTTTGGCTGTTGAAAACTATCATTGAGCACATCACATTACTTGTACAATATTTTCAGCTTCGGCCGCTTCATTCAAAATACGTAAATTTACATTCAGTCTTTACTCATTGTTGCTAGAAATGCTTTTCTTTTCGATTGTACCGACAACAGTTGTGTTGGAGATTTCGTTCTTTGAATAATTTTAATTTTCCACGAAATAAAAAAAGCACCTAACCAAATCAGACTAATTACTGCTCAATTCAGTCTAAATGACACTTTTTGTGTTCAAACTTCAAACCTATGCTAAATAATGGGATTGGTTTGGTTCAACCAACCAACCAACCAAAATTAGCTAAACACGTTGCAAACATAATTAAGTGTAGATGGACATTTATGCTTACTGGCAAATCTAAGCTAAATCTAGATATTGGTCCCCTAAGAGAAAATTATATACATTTGAAAACTTCGGTATGCCTTGGCAAACTGGATAATATCGTTACACGATTTATAATATTGGATTCATACATCCGAGGCTGCGTTTGGTATGCGGAAACGAGCTAGTACAATCTGTAAGCTCTGCGCCCCGCGGGTTGAAAGATTCAGAAAAGAAACACAAGTAATGAAGGCCAACATTAAGATACAAGAAAATTTTACAATTTCGCTACTCACACACTAGTCACTGCATAATAACAGAACGGGGTTTCAATGAATAATCTATTTACTTTTCTAAAGCAAGTACTCGCTGAGAAAGCTGCGCTGCAGCGCTTTTGGCCGACTGCTCCGAAGCATTGGCCAGCCCCTGTAACATTCTCAAAATCTCAGTTGTGTCTTCCAGGTAGTACTTGGCCTTGCTGGGCTTCTGACCGACAGTGCAAGCAAACACTTCAGCCACCGGAGAGAGAGAGTCCCTTGAACTCATTATCGCCTCAAACATGTCTTCGTCGGACCTGTCATCCCCAATACACAGAACAAAATCTGGAAGCATTGCTTTCTGTTTCATTGCTACGAGGAGACGTTCTGCTACAAGGCCTTTGTTGACACCCTATGAGATGGTCATAGAAGAAGAGGAACTTGTAAGGTTTGGGGCTAAGCTTCCGCTCTATACTACCGAAACCTCAAAGAGAGTTTGCACTACTTTTTTCACTTTTCATGCTTCAAAATCTTAAAAACAAATATCACACTGTAATATCTGAACTGAAATATATAGGAGAATCACTAAAAGTCAACAACCATTTATGATCCATACAAGAGCTGCTATTATGAGTCTAATAATATGTTTAATCAATTCAAAACAGTCCAATAAATTAGATTCACCACGAGATGTTTCTTCCTTGAAAAAAAATGAAAAATCTTTAAAGATTAGAGAATGATAGGTTACACTTATTAATAGATTTGAATCCTCTCGACTTCTCCCAATTCAATTGCATAAGGTTACTTGACGCGCTCTCCAATTTTCTGACCTGTTAGTTAAAACCCAGGTTTTAACTCATCTTTAAAATTTGTTTCAAGGAAAAAGTTCCCGTCTGTTTCTTCCAAAAGGTGCCCGTTTGCTTATACATTAACCCAAAAGGTATGCAGGGGATGTGGGACAATGCTAACACTTTCTTCTGCACCAGGATTGCAGGGTTGCAGACACTAGGTTCTCCACTCTACTTTGGCCAATCAATATAAACTTGACCCATCCTTACGATACAGCTATTCTGAAACCATGTTAAACCCAGTTTTTCCAGTCATAACACTGGCAGAGAGAGTTAGCATAGTTCCACATCACTTGAGTACCTTTTGGGATTTGCAATGTACAAACGCGTAAGCACACTTTCCTTGAAAGCCAATCTTTAAGGATGAAATTCTACCCCTCGGCTTAACATGGTATGAGAATAAACAAAGGACACCCTTTCCTTGTAAGCTAGTTCTTGAGAATGAGTTCTACTCATGGGTTTTAACGCAATTATCTGGACATTAATTAATGGAATGTTCAATTCTTGCAGGTAATGCCGGTCCCTAAAGAATATATTCCTTTGCACATAGGGAATTCAGGATTTCTTTTTGTACCTAATACTCCAATGTCATCTGTTGCTCTGGAATCTTAGTCCTCATTATAGTGAGAACATATCAAACTTACTTATAATCATAATTATAATATTTAAGCACATCTCAATTACTTAGTGCATGTTACTATAGAAGAAAAGATTAGACTTAGGAATGGCTATAAACTGACAGTGTAAGGAGATCAAAGAGCTACTAACCTGAGGTTTAACTTCTACAATGTGCTGACCACTCTTGACAGACACTGGCTCATTGGCAAGAACACTTTCCAGGTGATCTAGAAGCTCCTTAGCCTGACAAAAGCCAAAATCTGGATCTGCGTATTGATAATTCCAAACAAGAGCACTTTCTTTGGTCTCTATGGTAGAACCATCGGTTGTTTCGGTATATAACTGCATTACTGGCTCAGCAATCTGTTTCCAATCAAAATCTGGAATAGAGATACAAGTTTCCCAGTCGGCATTATGATTTGACCTGAAAAAGAGTATTGATCAAAATTAAATACACCACAAACAAACAAAGAAATCTTCAGACATGTTTCTCTTTCCAAAATTCCATGAATGGAAACTGCATCGCTAGGTTAGAGACTGATATGAAGGTTGCACTTTAGTACACCTCACGTCCCCAGAATAAAAAAGGATACAAACTGGCACAACTCTATTATTAAGAGTTGTAGCATTTGAATTCAATTTTCAGCATACAAATGGGCACAACTCCATTATCAAGCATATGACAACCCGAAACATGTGAGAATTAATAAATTGAGCTCTAATTCCAGTTCTACAACATGACTAGTTTTGTCTGCTGTAACATAATTATTAGAACTTTTCATGTTTCAATATTAAGGGTATCTAAAAATGATGTAAATTGAGTGATAATCTTTTGATAGGAAGAGCTACCCTAATTAATATGTGGGGAAAATAATTCAACACATGTAGTAGCCATCCTAATTTCACTTGTTCCTTTCCGCCCTTCTATTTTGTACAAAAGAGTTGTTTATATTTTGAAATACATTTTTTAATTGAATACACAAGCTGTTAGTAAACTGGACAAGTGAGACTGCAAGTTCGTCAGTTCTTCATACAACTAGAAACTGAAGCTGCCCAACCTTCTCGGACACAAACCTTGACCAGATCTAATCCTACTTCAGTATTACTATGCTTAAAGCTAAAATTAATTCAATTTTGCAAACAGAAAGCTATAAAGGGTTACATACTGTGAAAATTCAAAGATGTTTTAATTAAGCAAAATGACAAGAAGAAAAGTAGAAGTTTATAGTTTATAGTTTCTGCTCCTCTTCTTTCCTGTCTTTTTCTAACTTGTCCATGTGACATCTACAACCAGAACTTAGCTACTGATAGAAGACCAACTAAGATAAGTTACATTAACAAGTTCTTTTTTATTTCTCATCAGATTTTCCTCTTTTTGTTCGCCTTCGTTTTTTTAAAGTGTGTATGTAATATCTATAACAAGGACTTCATTAGGACAAAGATCCAAAACCAAAAATAACAAGTTTATGTTTATGGCCAGAAACTGCAGTTAGTGGAAAATGTAGAGCTGCACCAGCCTTGAAAAAGAGGATGGCTTATAAGACTTATAGAAAGGCAAATTAGCAAGCATGAGGTTGAGGTTATATTCTACCGCACGAAACTGAAATATACAGGAATTGAATTTGAATGACATGAAAAGTAAATATTAATATAAAGAAAAGTTCTATGTAGCTTGTAGGAACGGCTGTACACAAACATAGAGCCTTAATGGGGAAACAAGAAGTAGGGGGGCTATAACAACAAACAGGCACGTACCTCACATAATAGCCATGCTCTGCAGCAATCCCAAGCTTTTCACAAGAAGAAAACCACTTGGTTAAAGTCTTTCTGTCTTTCCCACTAACAAGAAAGACAACATTCTTGGGATCATTGCATAAATTGTTCAAGATTCCAACAGCCTCTGTATTAGGAGTGGTAATAATTGAACCCGGCAGCATCATAGCACCATCATAATCCAAAAGAATCGCTCGATTCTTGGTCCTTTTATAAGCTGAAACAATAAGTTCAACTGAAAGCTTTCTGAAATTTGGATCCAAAACAATCACCCGGAACCCTAAGCCAAAACCAATTCCCCAGCACCTTCTCCTCATATGATCCCTACATGCCCTTTCAAGATCCTGCAAGAAGCTGCGCGCCCAATATGCAACATCATGTGTAATGACATACCTATAATGTTTCTCGTGTCGCAACTGTTTTTCTGCCTCTGGCACCATAAGAGCAGAATCCATAGCTTCGGCAACAGCATCAATGTTCCACGGGTTGACTCGGATTGCCCCACTTAGTGATGGAGAGCACCCTATAAACTCGGATACCACTAGCATGCTTTTCTTTGGGGTTGTTGGGTTTAGTCCTAAAGTCTCATCTAGCTTCTCATTTCCTTGGCGGCAGATAATATACTCATAGGGTATAAGATTCATTCCATCCCTCACCGCTGTAACAAGACAACACTCCGCAATTACATAATAAGCAATTCGCTCATAAAACTGAAGCGGGGTATCAATCAAGACCACAGGTTTGTATCCTTCCCTTCCAAATGTCTCATTGATCCTCTTCACTGTGGCATCAGTTTCTACCTGGACCTCCCGGACATCTTTTCCCCGGCCTCTGGCAGGGTTAGCAACTTGAACCAAAACAACCTTACCCCTCTTATCAGGATGTTGACTAAGCAATTGTTCCATGGCCAAAAGTTTCAAGCTGATTCCTTTAAATATGTCCATATCATCAACCCCAAGCAAAACAGTTTTCCCCCTAAACTGATCTTGCAACTCGGCAACTTTAGATTCAGTCTCTGGAAGATTCAACACATTTTGGAGCTGGTGTATGTGTATCCCAACAGGAAGAATCTTAATGCTTACAGTGCGACCATAATACTCGAGCCCGATGTATCCTCGCTTAGATTGATATGAAAGGCCAAGCATTCTACTACAACAAGAGAGGAAGTGCCTAGCATAATCAAAAGTATGGAAGCCAATAAGGTCAGAATTCAGAAGTGCTCTTAGAAGGTCATCTCTTACAGGAAGTGTCCTGTATATCTCAGACGAAGGGAACGGGCTGTGGAGAAAGAATCCAAGCCTCAATCTATTAAACCTCTTCCTCAAAAATGTTGGCAACACCATCAAATGGTAGTCATGAACCCACACCAAATCATCATCAGGGCTAATCACTTCCATTACTTTATCTGCAAATATCTTGTTCACGGAAACATAAGCTTGCCATAGAGACCGATCAAACCTACCACCAAGATCTGGTGAGAGAGGAAGCATGTAATGAAATAAAGGCCACAAATGTTGTTTACAAAAACCATGATAAAATTTACTAAAAAGATCAGGAGGGATAAATGCAGGGACGCATTTGAAAGTATCAAGCAAAGTTTGGGCTACATCATCTTGCTCACTTGGGTCAATTTCTTCTTTAAGGCAACCAATATAGACTACTTCTACATCTTCTCCCAGGCCATCTTTGAGTTGCAAAAGAAGTGAATCCTCATCCCAGCTAAAGTACCATTCGCCATCGTCTCTCCGATGGGCCCGAAGTGGAAGCTGATTTCCCACTATGATCATCCGTTCTTGAGCAATGGATGACGGAGCATCAGAGCCAACACTATTACTGTTGTCATCATCAAACTCAGACAATACTCCAGCGACAGTTGCCACTCGGGGAAACCTCTTCTTCTCGCGGCCAAAAGTTGGGGAGTCACCAGAAGTAAGGTCAAGTAAGCTAGAATAGGACCTTGAAACCATTGCGAGGACGAATCGGGAACTTCTGGTCAGCTTGGAAGTGAAAGAGGACCGTGCTGATTCCTCAGGGCCAACTTCTACAAAGAATTAACAACCCATAAACACGAAACACAAAAAAAAAAAGAAAAACATGAAATATCAACAGAAAATCAAACGATTAACAAAAGAAATCTACTGCAGCTGCACAGATTATAGTACCAATAGTTGAGTTGTGACAGCATAAACTGGGATAGAAGCTTCACTATAATACAGAGATGCTTTTACAAACAAATAAATTTTACTAGAAAGCTCGTTTAATTAGCTTTCCTCTCTCAGCAGAAATCAAAATTTTACAGAATTAGAGCAGTTAAATGTAATAAAGAGCCAAAAATTAAAATCTGGAACTCACACAATTATTTGAACAAAACCCAGAAGCCTAAATCTGAAGAAATTAGATCCAAAACTGAGAAATAATCACCTCCAGAGTGCAATCATAAAGCAACCCAGAAATGCAAGAATCTTGAGGAGAGTCTGTCTGTCTATCTATCTATCTACCCATCCAAGCAGCTTGAGAAATCAAAATGCATATTCAACCCATCTTCCATCACAAAAAGTATAAATAATCTAGAGAGAGAGAGAGAGAGAGAGAGAGTCAACTAAGCAAGTGAATGAAAGATGCAGCAGCACGCAGCACCAGCACCAGCACCAGCACGAGCACTCAAAACCAAGTGGAAAAAAGTACCAAAAAAGTAGATTCCAACTTGAAACATCAGAAGAATAACCATGAAAAATAAAGCTTTAAAATAATCATTCCACATTTCACAGTGAACGAGTGTGTGTTAGTGAGAGAAACTGCTCACCTTTTGGCTTTGATGAAGAATGACGGTGCACTGAGACACCAAAGATGCTCCCTTTTTACTCTCTCTATGTGAATTGCATTCGGAGAAAATGAAAGGCCAATGCTTTTGCTAAAATTTGGTAAAAAATCTCACTGAGACAACTATTTCCTTTCACATTCGACAAACAAACAAATGGGATGTCCTTTTACAAAGAATTAGATGCTCTCTGTTACTTTTCTCTCTCTAATTTTGTTGTAATTTGTAAGAGTGATGATTTGCTGGGAAGATTTTTTTAGAAATAATGTTTGAGAGATCAAATTTTTTAAATTAATTTTTTTTTTGTTGGGAACATTTTGTAAATTAAATAATGTAATTGTTAATAATTGAATTGTTAATTAATGTATTTATTTTGTAATACATCATTTAATTTGTAAATTTAGTTTAAAATTCTGGTCTTCTTACCATTATCCTTTTTTAGTGTGCTGAAACACCGGGAGGAGTTTTAAGTGTGTCCACAACACGGCTAATCAGCATACAAATTGTGAGATACTTGTGTTAAAAAAAAATTCCCACTTATCTAATAAAATATTAGATATCACCCATGTTTCGAATACAATAAAATATTTCTCTAAAAACAATAACGAAACACATATGTATCATATAATACAAGAGATACTTGAAAGAAAAAAAAAATTCTACTTTATACTAACAAGTAGTGTTTCCTCTCGCGTTCAGTCATATGTATCATAAAACAGCGTGCAGTCAGCACCAACAATGGTTAAGCATGGTTAATTAACTCAACAACAGCATTGGTTAGATATATAGACTAGAGACGAAAGTTAGCTCATGAGACTGCTTATTTCTCTAGGAAAACTAATGAAAATGGCTTGAAAACTTTGAGTTTTAATAATAAGGACAAAATAAAGAGTAAAGTGAATAGTATCAGGATTAACTTTTTAGTGTAAAAATGTGATTTTTCGTTAAAGTGAACATTATCAGAAGCTTTTCGTTAAAGTTCCCTATTTCTCTCCCCCCTATTAACTCAACGTGGCAGGTTGAAGGCAAGGAAGACAAAAGGAAAATAGGAGAGAAAGAACAAAATTATGAAAAGAAAATTAAAAATAAAATAAATAAATAATACCACATCATACCTATACTTTGACAGAAATTTTATATAAAAAATTATCAAACACTTAAATATTATTTTTTACTAAAATTATTTTTACTATTAAAATTTAACAAACACTTTACTAATTATTTTATAATTATTTATTTTTATAGCACAATAAAAATATTTTTACACAGCAATACCGCGGTAGCTCTGAGAGTGACTGGGATATAAATTATTATTAGAACTTCTGTGCAGCACACCAACATATTTATGACTTCTGTCGTATTCATTTATTTTATTTTTTTATACAAACGAAAAATAATGTAACTGAAGCAACACCAACCACTTTCCTGGCTACTGCTACCCCCAAAATGCCCTTTGATTTTGACCTATGTCATGGGCATTGCACTTTAAGTTTGATATTGTCTATTTTATGATACATTTGAATAATAAATGAAACAATTTTTCTCTTATAGAAGTTGGAAGATAAATGATTAAGAAACCACCAACCCAACATGTTGTACGGTACTCATTGATATCAACCCAATATGTTAAAAATATAAGGGTAAATCTCAGTTTACTGCTCTTAAGTTTTGTGGTTTTCAATATAGTTTTTTTTGTTCAGAGTCATACATAAAGTGTTAATTTTGGGATAGTCTCATACCTCTGTTAGTCTAGCTTTTAAGTCTTCTATTAAAAAGTCCACGTGAAAATTAAAAATTCACATGTCATTAAGAAGTCCACGTGGTGCCTATACGAACAAGGATTGGATACCACGTGTCATTAAGAAGTTTACGTGGGAATTAAAATATCAAAAAAGTAATTATTTTAAAAAATTATTATTATTATTTGAAAAAAAAAACCAAATCCCCTTCTCTTCCCCGGAATCCCAACCCGTGACCACCCTCCCCCCCCACCCCTTCATCGAATTGGCGTTTGGGGTTTGTTTTTCTCCAACTCCCCGTCAGCGCCATCTCTCCGTCAAGCCACCCATCCTCGCCTGCGTCCCTATATATTTGTAAGTGCCCTTCTCATCGAATTGCCGGCCCATCCCTTCCCCCTCGTCAAATCTCCAAAACCATAAATCTAAATCTAAATCCAAAATTTTCAAATTGGTTTCATAAAATTAGGTCCATTTGCACGGATAAGAAAGAGAGGGTGAGAAATGTGAAGAGAGAGGCAGAGACTTGAAATTGGGGTTTGAGGCTTTTGTCTGAGACGACCATCCTCTTCTTGAGGCAGAGCTTTTCTATTTTTCTGGGGCTTCGACGGCAGCAAGGGGGAATATGTAGTTGGCGCAGTAGGTGTGGCGGAGTGGGAGGAAGGGTGTGGCGTGCTAGCGATGGTGTTGGACGGCGCCAATCCCTTTAGGTAAGTACATCAGACCTCCCAATCCAAAATCAAATCCATCCCATCTCACTTCCAATTCAAAAATCAAATCCCTTTAGGTATGAAATTAGGTTGAATTTTAATTAAAAAAAAAACAAAGAAGATGAATTTCAGATTTTAAGGTTTGATGGTTGCGGGGCGGGTAGAGGATCCTTTTCGGACCCAAACCCACCGGATCCTTATTCTTCTTTCTTCCCTGCAGATTTTCATCACTCTCATCCATTTTTTCCAGCTGAAACACTATTTCCAATCATCCAATTCCCAACACAGCCTTTATATATATATATATATATATATATACACGGAGGATAAAAATGGAAGAAAAAGAACTGAAATCTTCATACGTGGAGGAGTTAAAGAGATTATGCTCCCAAAAATTGAAGAAGCATAAGGATGGGGCAGATTTGTAGAGTTTGGAAATTTCATGGAAAAAATGGATGATGGTGATGAAAATCTGCAGAGAAGAAAGGAGGAGGATCATCCTCTCCCGGCAGGGAGACCTGTTTAGTTTTTAGGGTTATTTTTTAATTTTTTTTTATTTTTTAATATCCACGTGGCGTCTAGTCATTGACCACATTAGCTTCACGTCAGAAGTTAATAGAAGACTTAATAGCCAGACTAACGAATGTATGAAACTGTCCTAAACTTAACATTTTAGATATGACTCTGGGGCGAAAAAAAATTCATGTATCAAATGTTGAAAATTACGAAACTTGAGAGCAGTAAACTGAGATTTACCCAAAATATAAAATATTAGGCAATTATCACTTTATTATCTTGAAATATGGTAGTGTTCAAACTTTCATACATCAAGTTTTTTTTTTTTTTTTAATCTAAGTGTCATACCTAAAGTTGGAATTATAGGAAACTTTTGGACATCTGTTACGTTTTTCTTGAGAACCTCTGTTAATTTGTGATGTGGTGCTCACGTGGACAATGATTAGACGTCACGTGTCAATCTAGTCCACATGAACATTAAAAATTAATTAAAAAGTCAAAAAGTGGGGATAATGGCAGAACTTCCTTTCCTTCGTTCCATTTTCTATCTTTTGTAAATCTTTCTGTAATTCTTAGAGAAACCTTATATTGCTATCTTATATGTATACGCCCTATCTCAGGTCCTTGGCAGATAGAATCGTCCAAACCAAACCAAACCAAAAGTTTTGTAGAAGCCCCAAAAGCGACTTCATCGTCGAGTTCCTCAACTTAGTGCTTCCGATTTAGAGTCGAGTTACCAGGTTCCGGTAGTGGTCCAGACCGTCTCCCTCTTGGAGGATGAGCTGTTGACAGACAAGACAACGGAGTTGAGGAAGGTGTCGCTTTTGATCAAAATCTCGGCGTCGACGACGGCGACGTGGCAGTCGAGGTGGGTCGTGATGGTTCAGGATTGGCTGGGTGGTTTAGGCAGAAAAGAAACAAGTCGAGATATAGGCTGGTCAGCCGGGTTACAAATTGCATTTAATTCAAAGTGGTGAGCAGACAAGTTCATGGATTCAAAGATCATATTTGGGCATGGTGGTTCTAACGAATTCCACGGTTTTCAACAGCAAGCAGGGTAGCAGCAAAACGGTGAATTTTGGGGTTCTTGAGATCGAACAACAAAGAAAGTGAAGAGAGAGTAAAGAATGATGGTGAAGGATGAGGAACAGGAAAGCAAAGGTGACATGTAGGGCTAGATCGACATGTGTGGCCTAGTCATTGTCTACGTAAGCACCACGTCACAGTTTAGCAGAGAATTTCATGGAAAACTTAATGGATGCTTGAAAGTGTCTCATACTTCTAACATTAGGTATAATATTAAGATGTAAAAAAACTTGATGTATGGAAGTTTGAAAACCACGATACTAATGTAGTAAAGTGAGTATCCTAAAATATTTTTGTAGACATCAAAATTTCGGTGAAATAAATGTTGATCAATAATTAAAATTTCAACATTCACGTGTCACATAAATTTTACATATAGCATGTGACTCAACGAAAAATCGAGAATCATCAGAAAAGTCATTAAACATGACAAGTGTCAACACATGGCAGAAATGATTTATTTCATCTGATTATTTAAATCTAAAAATCAAGTTTTTGAATTATATAAATAAGAAGCCGAGGCATTCATTTTGAAAAACCAATTCATAACCAATTCACATCACACCAAAACCTTGAAGCTTTGAAACTTTAAAGCTTCCAAGCAAATCCCGAATGATCAAAAAAGCTTTCTTCGTTCTTCGTCAAATCCTCCTTCAAAATCAAGCCCCAACTGCCCTTGAAAAACTTCCATCAATTCAAGATCAAGCCCCGACGGCCCTTAAAGAAAGTGTTCATCGTTCATTGTTCGTTCATCCTAAAATCAAGCCCCCGACGGCCCTTAGGATCAATAACATCAATAAATTCATCTATTGTTCTTCAAGATCAACCCTAAAAGCCCTTGAAGATCCGTATACCACTGTTCATCCTAAAGATCAAGCCCCGACTGTCCTTTGGA